AAGAAGTTAACGAAAATTAACCACGTGGCGATCATGAGCAATTACCAAGTGGCTATTTCGGCCCATTTCTTAAACGAAGACTAATGGATAGGAGTTAAGAATTCTTTGTTCATAAATCTCTCCGTCCCAAAGTACTCACTTTTATTGGATCAAGTGAGAATTTTAAAATATAAAAATCTCGTGACATGTTTAAACAATTATCAGGATAAGAGTTAAGGATTCTCTGTTTCATAAATCTCTCCATCCAAAAATAGTCACTTTTATTGGATTATGTGAGAATTTTAAAATATAAAAATCTCATAATATGTTTCAACAATTATCAGTAGTGGTTTGAAAATTGACTATTTTAATTGACTTTTTACAAAAAGATGCACAAAAAAAATATAATAATTTATAATGATTTTTAACTTTTACACTAAAATATATTCCCAATCGAGTCCTCAGTGTTTTGGGAATAGAGGATTCAAAGAGATTGATACAAAGGTTCTGTGCGTTTCCACAAAGGAGGTTCCTAGTCACATGTAATTTTTTTTTTTAGGTACATCGGAAAGTTCCTAGTCACATGTAATAGAAACCATATTGTCCATTGAAACCAAGCTGTGGACAACTTCAAGGATCTCCTTCTTCACCATTCAAAGGATTGAAAATTATTAGTATATAGGTTGACTTTTACTAACCAATACACGTTTGCTAGGGTTAAAAAGCAGAGAAATTCATCTAAATTTCTGATTTTCAAATGCTTAGTTGCCAGCAAAAGACGAAAAATTATTTTCCTTGAAACTTGTTTCAAAAAAATCTTCCATTTCCAAGTTGAACCTTACCCTAAAGCCAATGCAAGCCCTCAAAGTCAAATTTAAAATATTTACGAACTAGCAAGACAAAGAAAATAAGAAAATATGAAAAAGTGAATAATTTTTCTAAATTTTATTACTGAAAAAGAACTTAATAGTTGTAAAATCTTAAATTTCAATTTATAACAAACAATGCTTGGTGTAAGTCACAATTCATGCTTCAAATCAAGCTAAGATTACATAAAGTAAGAAACTGTGAAAAATAAAAGTTAGAATATATTCTAGAGAAACGTTACTCAAAACGGATTTATTTAAACTTTGAAATTAAGTTGTTAATATGTTTTCAAATACAATATATTTTTTCGTTCGGAGACCATAGAATTCACCTAAAATTCAGATCGAATATGAATGTTTTGGCCTGATTCAATGACCTTGAAATATCAACAAAATTATTATTTTACCAACAATTTGTCAAACCGTTCCATGAATTTGCTGTCATTCACCACTGCATTTATACACCCAAATGTCACATATGACTTAGCAATTGGGTCAATTTGAACTGGTATGCTACTCATTTTCCCATATATATATATGGATTGACATTTCAAGTTTTATATTTCTTCTTCTAGGTAACTTCAGGGATGCAACCCCTCAAGTCAAAATTTAAGATATTTATTAAGTATACTAATGCACAAAAATGTATGGAATAAGAAAAATACAAGAAAAAAATAAACCACATAGAAAGAGACAATTTTTCTGAAATTTTATTACTAAAAAAGAATTAAACAGCATCGAAAACTTCAAGTTCAATTTACATCAAATAATGTTTGGTGACAAATCACAATCCACAACCCAAATCAAGCCAAGATTGCCAGGGACAAATTTCATTAAAAGGACTTTTATATTTGGCTTTCACAAGCCCCTAATAGCACAAATCAACCCAACAAGAACAAAATCAAGACATGTGAATCCAAAAGAACAGTTATAAAACCCTAATAAAAAATAGCAAACACATATATGACAGAGCCAAACAAATATTCTGAGATAATGAAATTCGAGTATCAATCAGAAATTGAGAAAGGGTTTGTAAAGCATGGGGCGTGTTTTGGGAATTTTGAAGAGGAAAATTTAAACAATGGAGTGATTGTAAAA